AATGATGGATCTGGACCAAACTTGGCATGAATTCTCAATATGCCCAAATGTCAACACTGGGGGAGTTTGGGGAAAACAGACCTTGACATTTAGGAGTTGTAGTTGCTGGGATTTATAGTTCACCTACAATCAAGGAGCATTCTGAACCCTACCAACGATTGAATTTGGCCAAACTTCCCACACAGAACCTCCATGACCAACAGAAAATACTGTGTTTTCTGGTGGTCTTTGGTGACCCCTCTGATACCCCCTTGCGACCCCTCCAGGGGTCCCGACCCCCAGGTTGAGAAACACTGCTATAGAAGTACAGTGGAGGAATTGGTTGAATCCCATCCATTTTTTTCAGGGACAGCCTGGACAACACAAAATAATAATATAAGTTGTGTAGCTTTGTTCTGCCTTGTTGGATATTTCAGTTACCTGATTAATGACAACCTTTCATTCAACTTGAGGGCACTCTGTTTGTAATCTGTTCCTGGATCGGAGGTTTTAGATGCAAAGCCTGCACCTGTAGCTGGCCTTAGTGTGCAGATTTAATGTGCTCCAAAAGTCAGCTATATTTGACAAAAGGATAATAGGTTCATAGGAAGGAGTGTATGTGTGGGTGTGTTCCCGCGACTGTACATGTACTAATCTTTCTTTTTTTATTACTACGACAATTTAATCTGTCCTATTGCATCAATTTGAGGATGTCCTCTGGTAAAGAGGCCTTGTTCCGGAGACTCAAGAGGCTGGGTCACTGCTTTCTGCTTTTCCCAGTATTCCTGCTCTGAACCCCTTGGAGGAGATTGGCAATGGCCAGGGAAAAAAGACCACTCTTGAGTACAGTTGAATTAAAATGACTCTGTGTAGCCCCATGCAGGAACGATACATACACAGAGAGCAAACTTATTGGAAAGCACCCCCTCCTTCTTTTCCTCCCAAGCTTTTATTTGGTTAATAAGAAAATCCGTTTATTTTGGTCCCAACATTCAGTCAAGCAGACGGAAAGCTTTTTATTAGCGATGATTGAGGGGAAGAGCGAGGATGGGCGCCAGTGATGTGTGCCAATGAACGAGGTTAAGGAAAGGATGAAAAAGAATAATACTGTATTTTATCAATTGTAGGGTGCCTGTTTTCTCCCATATAAACATTTTAAAAAATGGAGTGCATCTTAGAATCGTGGGTGATATCTATATAAATAAAAATGTAATGTACGTTTGTGGGATTAACAGAACTCAAAAACCACTGGACGAATTGACACCAAATTTGGACACAAGACACGTAACAACCCAATGTATGTCCATCACTCAAAAAAAATGATTTTGCCATTTGGGAGTTGTAGTTGCTGGGATTTATAGTTGACCTACAATCACAGAGCATTCGGAACCCCACCAAGGATAGAATTGGTTCAAACCTCCCACACAGATGTGGGCCGCAGTAATGCGTGGCAGGGGGCGGCTAGTGTGTGTATATATACAAGGGGTATTTTTAAGTAAGGTCCATTTTGTTGTAGACACTAGTAGCTCGCGCGTATACCGCAGCGAGCGCGTGCGTCATGTACCGGCATGCCTCGGGAACAACTGTGCTCAGTTTCCGCTCTGTAGCTAACCTGTATGGTTCTGTTCTGTGCTTTAAACATGTTTAAGACTATCAACTCACCCACCACATGTGAGGTTCGCTCAGTGATACGGTTTTTGTCAGCAAGGAACCTGCCTGCTGCAGAAATTCAGCGACAGATTTGTGAAGTGTACGGTGATACTGTTATGAGTGAAAGCAAAGTGCGTAAGTGGGTACGACAATTCAAAGATGGCCGTGACAACGTCCATGATGAGGACCGCTCCGGTCGCCCTTCTTTGATTAGAGACGTTTTGGTGGCAGCAAGTTTTTATGAAGAGGGTATTTTAAAATTGGTTCAGAGGTATGATAAATGTTTGAACAAACTTGGCAACTATGTCGAAAAATAGAGTGAAATATGTACTTTCTGAAAATAAATTTACTTTTTTGAAATAAACTTTCGTTGTGTACTTATGTTCCAACGGACCTTACTTAAAAAATACCCCTCGTGTATATGTATATATATATGAGTGTGTGTGTGTGTGTGTGTGTGTATAGAGAGAGAGCTTGTTTCCAAATGGGACCAAATCTATCTGAATAAATGTTATAGGAGTCAAAATAACATGCTGAGGATTTTGCTCTAAAATGCCATTTTCCAAGCCCTGTATCAAAGTGATTTGGACTATTTTGATAGTTTTGATCAATTATAATAATAATAACAATAACAACAGAGTAATAATAAAAACAGAGCGTGGATTGTCAGTGTTGCAATCTCAGGTATCAGCAGGATTGAAGAGAAACAACTGGAAAAGCTGATATGATATGATTATTTAAAGATTGAACTGCAAAGACTGTGGCGCAAGCCAGTCAAGGTGGTCCCAGTGGTGATTGGCACACTGGGTGCAGTGCCTAAAGACCTTGGCCTGCACTTAAACACAATTGGCGCTGACAAAATTACCATTTGCCAGCTGCAAAAGGCTACCTTACTTGGGAAGTGACGGACTTGGGCCAAACTTGGCAATAAAACCCAACATGGACAACTTTAAATACTGGCAGGGTTAGGGGAGGACTGACCCACTATTTTGGAAGTTGTAGTTCACTCACAATCTTATGCATTACGTATTGTTCCATTATCTGGGCTGAGTCCACAAGGGGGTGCTAGAGAGAGAAGGATAGTTCATTTTACAGGGAGGAAGTTGAAGGAGAAAAGAATTTCCCCCGTTTTCACTGGTTATTCCCCCTCCCCACTTCCCTTATGATAAGCAAAGGTTGTTTCCATGACAGGGACATTGGTGGGGAAAATAACAGGAAAACAGAGGGAAATGCTTCTACTCCTTCAACTCACCCTCCACCCCATAAAATGGACTATCCTTCTCTCTATAGCAGTGTTTCTCAACCTGGGGGTCGGGACCCCTGGGGGGATCACGAGGGAGTGTCAGAGGGGTCACCAAAGACCATCAGAAAACACAGTGCTCTCTGGATGTAGGTGAACTACAACTGCCAAACTCAAGTTCAATGCCCACCAGACCCTTCCAGCATTTTCTGTTGGTCATGGAAGATCTGTTTGCCAAGTTTGGTTTAATTCCATCATTGGTGAAATTCAGAATGCTCTTTGATTGTAGGTGAACTATAAATCCCAGCACCTACAACTCCCAAATGACAAAATCATTTTTTTGAGTGAAGGACATACATTGGGTTGTTAGGTGTATGTGATATCGAGCTCGTTTGTGAGGGGTCTTCCCAAAGGGAGATCCCTGAGGACCGCGCCAAAAAGGGTCCTGGAAACCTTGGTGAGAGCCAGCGGGAGCCAATTTCAGCAATAAAATAATTAAAATCAATAACCCTCATCAAAGTGGAAGAAGTTTTTCAAGAAATCGAGGTGTCTTTATTAGCGATTCAGCTGAGATCGGATGCATTGCAGGGATCATTCCACCACAAGCATAAAGCTAGGCATGTTACAAGCATTTTTATAGACGAAAATTCAAAGGAAAAGGTTTCAAAATTCCCGCCCGCCCCCTTGCCGGCCGGCTTTTTGCTGATTGGCTGATGGCCGAACAGCTGGGAGAAGGCTTGGCAGCCAGCCCCGCTCCCGAGCCAATCAGCGCATTCCTCTCGCTCCTAGGAATGGACGAATCAGGAGAGGGGAGGCAGAACGATCTCAAAACAATGGGGAAATTATGGGATCACGGATAGCTGGCCGGCTTGGAATGTGGAGCATTATCTTTGGCTGGCAAAGTGTGAGGGTAGCAAACAAAGATTTCCTGTTCCTGATGGGCTTTTTTTGGGGGGGGGGGAGAATCAACAAATTCGGGCTACGGACCTCAAGGGATCAACATTGCCCTTTGCGATTTCTTAATTATTTCCTTTTCCAAAATCCCATGGAATTCCTTATCTCGCTAGCCGGATTGGAAGGTGAGACAGGGGTTGGTGACTATTGTGTTGTGTAGGTGAATCAATCAACAATCTGGGTTTCGAGGGAGATAGGAATCTTCCTCGAGCCTAGCAGCAGTTTCTGATCACTTTTTGTGGGGCAAAAGTCAAAAGGAAAGATGGAAAACAGAATAGAATTCATACAGCATTATTTTAGACAGGATCATACAAAAAGAATCCCCTTCCCGCCCCACATCTTCATTTTTATTTAAATGCCGAGCTTTTATTTAAAAGAGAAAGAAAGGAAACTAGAAATCCCATGCCCTGGCAGAAGGTTTGTGGAAACGGGGGCGTCAAATGGCCAAAATCATGCAGCAAAGAGTCCCTTTTTAACAGGCAGAAGCCAACAGATGGGCGCTGAGTTGAAAAGAGCACCAAAGTCCATCACTCGGTCCTTGGAAACTACAGCTCCCACAAAGGGCAGAAGTCCCAAGATCCAGCCATTTCCCAAAAGCTTCGTGGGGTCCTTGTTGTTGTTAGTGCCTTGGCAATGTGACCAAGACTTAACCCTTGTTGTGTAGTCTGGTGCCCTTGCCCTTTGCAGAACTATGTCACTATCCCTTATTTTGGGGGGTGGGTGCTTGACATCATATGTTGTCCAAATTTGGGGTCAATTCCCCCAGTGGTTTTTGAGTTCTGTTAATCCCACAAACAAACATTACATTTTTATTTATATAGATTATTATTATTATTATTATTATTATTATTATTAAAGAGAGCTATTCTATTCTATGAGTTTGGAAAGCATGGAAAGCAATGGTATTAGCTTGGACCACTGACTGCTTATGGGTTTTGATGCAGAACCATAGGCTCCCATGGAAAGAAATGGTTTAAACTGGTGTTTAAATGTAAGTGGCTTTGAGCAGGGCATTGGTTTGTGGGTATTGTTGTTTGTCCTGTTTAAAAACAAAAAGAGGTACTATACTGACCTTGTGATGCATGTCAGAAGAGTATATTGCCAGCTCTTCAGTGAGTGGGATGGGGAGGAGAGAGGAGAGGGGCGATTCCCTACTCTTAAAGGGGCCGCCACCCTTTAAGGATGAGGTGTTGCATCTCCCTCCCTGGCCCCGCCCGGAGGAGGCGCCACCTCCTCCTCAGGACCTCCCTCTCGAAGTCTCCCTCCGTCCCTCCATCCACAGCCAGGGCTTCCGAGCCTCCGGCAGTGGCAGCCGCTTCCACCCATTGAGTCCCACTGGCAGGGTTTGGGGAGCCTCTTCCTCCTCCGCAGGGCCCTCCGCCGGGCCATGTCTCAGCGGCGCCCTCTGCCGGCGGGGCCCCCTCAGCGCAGAAAGGCGGAAAGAGAAGAACGGTCCTGAACGCCGGCTGGAGAGAGAGAGAGAGAGAGAGAGAGAGAGAGAGGCGCAGAGAGCTCCCAGGTGAGTCTCTTTCTCTTTCTTTTCCCTGAAAGTACGAAGGGATGCCTTTCCCTCCTAGGTTTCTTTTCTCTTCCTGTTTGGTTTCCAATCTCCTGCGGGATGTTGGCAAAGAGAGGATGCTCCCCTCCCTTCTGGCGTCTTGGCTGGGAACTCAGCACCAAAGCCTTGTTTGTTTGGATCTTGAGACCTTTCATTATGGGAGGAATGGGAAACCAGGGCTTGGTATTTGTTCTCAAAGGAGGAAAGAAGGTCCCATTTGTGCCAAATTGGTTGCAGTTGGTTTGGAAGCCGGAATGACATGAGTGCGTTGAACTTGGAAGCTGTGCAGGGAGAGAGTTGGGCGTTGCATTGGGTTTTCCTCCTTGAGTCCCTCTCTGCCCATTCCATCCCAGTATATCAAGGCAGGAAATAGACTCATAGAGTTGGAAGAGACCCCATGGGCCATCCAGTCCAACCCCCAAGAAGCAGGAAAATTGCATTCAAAGCACCCCCGACAGATGGGCATCCAGCCTCTGTTTAAAGCTTCCAAAGAAGGAGCCTCCACCACACTCGTGGGGCAGAGAGTTCCACTGCTGAACAGCTCTCCTTAGAGTTAGGATTTGATACGGGGGGGGGGTGGGGGGGTGCTGAGTTTGGGGGGGGGCTGAGGATCTCCCCTAGCAAACCTTTTGTATCGTTATTCCAATACCCCCATGCCTATGGGATATATTGAACATGGTGATCAGATCATGATATAAATAAACATAACAGTTTAAATAATGTACCAGTAAGGCCTTCTCGTGGACCACCCTGAGAATTTTTTTGGGGGGGTGGGGGTGGCTGAAGCCCCTCAAGCTCCCCCCCCCCACTACATGCCTGTCAATCACAGTCAGGAAGCTCTTCCTAATGTTCAGATGGAATCTCCTTTCTTGTAGTTTGAAGCCATTGCTCCCTCCTCCCTATGACTTCCTCTCATGTATTTATACATGTCTCCTCTCAGCCTTCTCTTCTTCAGGGTAAACATGCCCAGCTCTTTAAGCCGCTCCTCATAGGGCTTGTTCTCCAGACTCTTGATTGTTTTATTCATAGAATCATAGAGTTGGAAGAGACCTCGTGGGCCATCCAGTCCAACCCCCTGCCAAGAAGCAGGAAAATTGCATTCAAAGCACCCCGACAGATGGCCATCCAGCCTCTGTTTAAAAGCTTCCAAAGAAGGAGCCTCCACCACACTCCAGGACAGAGAGTTCCACTGCTGAACAGCTCTCACAGTCAGGAAGTTCTTCCTCATGTTCAGATGGAATCTCCTTTCTTGTAGTTTGAAGCCATTGTTCCGTGTCCCAGTCTCCAGGGAAGCAGAAAACAAGCTTGCTCCCTTCTCCCTATGACTTCTTCTCACGTATTTATACATGGCTATCATGTCTCCTCTCAGCCTTCTCTTCTTCAGGCTAAACATGCCCAGCTGCTCCTCATAGGGCTTGTTCTCCAGACCCTTGATCATTTTAGTCGCCCTCCTCTGGACACATTCCAGCTTGTCAATATCTCTCTTCAATTGTGGTGCCCAGAATGGGACACAATATTCCAGGTGTGGTCTAACCAAGATAGAATAGAGTATGGGTAGCATCCCACATTATCTGAGTCTGGTCTCAGAAAACCCAGTTCAGAGCAGATAATATGGGATAATCTGCCTTGATATTCTGTGGAAGGGCCCTTAGGAGTTTGGGACTGGTTAGCACTTGGATGGGAGACCGCCATTGAAGACCAGCTGCTGTTGGAAATATTTCAATCCCACCTCTTGAGGATTCCTTACCTAAGCAAACCCTCTAGAACAGTTGTTCTCAACCTGTTGGTCCCCAGATGTTTTGGCTTTCAACTCCCAGAAATCCTAAGAGCTTGTAAACTGGATGGGATTTCTGGGAGTTGTAGGCCAAAACACGTGGGACCCACAGGTTGAGAACCACTGCTCTGGATGGTTTTGCACTGCTATGGCATTTTGTATCATCAGTGTCCAACCATGGCCTGTTCCACACTGTTGTATAAAATCCAACATTGTCTGCTTTGAACTGGATTATATGGCAGTGTGGACTGAGACCCCTTCCAGACAGGTCCTATATCCCAGGATCTGATCCCAGATTATCAGGCAGTGGAAACTCATACCTGTCCAAACGTATCTCTCCTTATGAACCATCTAGGACCCTAAGATCTTCTGGGGAGGCCCTGCTCTCGGTCCTGCCTTCTTCACAGACTCGGTTGGCAGGAACGAGGAACAGGGCCTTCTCAGTGGTGGCCCCTCGTCTGTGGAACGCCCTCCCTAGGGATATCAGTTCGGCCCTCACCCTCCTAACATTTTGAAAAAGTTAAAACCTGGCTTTTTGAGCAAGCTTTCCCAAATGCAGTGTAGCAGACAAACTCTGATCTTCGGAACGACTGGACAATGCGATTGGATAATGATTTTAGTAATGAGATGCTGAGGATTTTATTAGTTTTTTTGTTTTATTTAATGTTATTTATGCTAAATGTTTCAATTTATGTTATTGCAGGCATCGAATTGTGCCATTTGTAAACCGCCCTGAGTCGCCCTTGGGCTGAGAATGGCGGTGTATAAATATGATAAATAAATAAATAAATAAATAAATAAAATCCAGTTTAAAGCAGATAATCTGGGATGAGATTCTGGGATATAGGACCTGTCTGGAAGTTCTCTCAGGCCCCTTCCACACAGCTGAATAAAATCCCACTTTATATACTTTGAACTGGGATATATGGAGCCCCCGGTGGCACACTGGGTTAAACCACTGAGCTGCTGAGCTTGTTGACCGAAAGGTCCAAATCCGGGGGGCGGCGTGAGCTTCCGCTGTCAGCCCAGTCTGGCAAACTAGCAGTTCGAAAACATGCAAATGTGAGTAGATCAAGAGGTACTGTTCTGGCGGGAAGGTAACAGTGCTCCATGCAGTCATGCCGGCAACGTGAACTTGGAGGTGTCTAGGGACAACGCAGGTTCTTTGGCTTAGAAATGGAGATGAGCACCAACCACCAGAGTCGGACACGACTGGACTTAATGTCAGGGGAAAATCTTTACCTTTACCTATATGGCAGTATGGACTCAGATAATCCAGTTCAAAGCAAATATTGTGGATTATTGTAAGGTGCTGGTGCTATCCTACAAAGCCCTAAACGGTTCCGGCCCAAAATACCTTTCGGACCGCATCTTGGCCTATGAGCCCACGAGGACCTTGAGATCGTCTGGGGAGGCCCTTCTCTCGATCCCGCCTGCTTCACAGGCACGTCTGGCGGGGACGAGAGAAAGGGCCTTCTCGGTGGTGGCCCCCCGGCTGTGGAACGACCTCCCTGCTGACATCAGACAGGCGCCTTCCCTTCTGTCCTTCCGAAAGAGCCTGAAGACCTGGCTATTTGAGAAGGCATTCAATTGAGCGCTACGGCAACTGGTAATTGACAACTGGAACGGAATACGGATTACGATATTGGTTATGATTCTATGATGTGACGGAGCGGATTATTTAGTGTAACTAGATTATAGTGTATTATTGTTGTATTGATTCCCTGTTTTGCCCTTTTTGTAAACTGTTTTTATATGTTGTGCACCGCCGCGAGTCGCCCTAGGGCTGAGAGCGGCGGTCAATAAATGCAGTAAATAATAAATAATAATAATAATTATTATTCTGCCTTGATATTCTGGGTTATATGGCCATGTGGAAGGCAATTTGTTCAATGCAGTACAAATTGCATTGTAAGGTTCTACTCTGATATAGTATAGTTTCAAATAGCATTACATGGCAGTGTGGAGCCAGCCAGCACAAACTATTGGGCCAACAGGTGCCAATATGGACATGGCTTTTAACCCTGTTTTTATTGATACTGTGTAACGTGCTTTACTGCTTTTGTTGTGAGTTGCTATCTGGTTGAATGTTTGCGCTGTTTATTTTTACTGCTTAATTTATTGATGTTATTTTTATGAATGTTTGCCTTTTACGTTGTGAGCCACCTTGATATAAATAATAGGGGATATAAATAAAGTTTTATGTACTTGTTGGCACATAACAGAAACCGGGTGACAGCAGAGTGGGGCCTCTTCCACACAGAGATATAAAATCCACATTGACCTGGATTATAAGGCAGTGTGGACTCAGGGCCCTTCCACACAGTCCTATAACCCAGAAAATCCCACAATATCTGCTTTGAACTGGGTTATCCGAGTCCACACTGCCATATAATCCAGCTCAAGTGGATTTTAAATCCTTGTGTGTTACTGTTTATTGGTTATTGTTTATATGTGATTTATATTAATTGTATTGTATTTATCGTTTTTGTTTATTGCTTTTTGTTTTTATTGATGCGTTGTTGGTCTTGGTCTCATGTAAGCCACTCTGAGTGCCTTGGGGAGATGGTGGCGGGGTATAAATAAAGTATTATTATTATTATTATTATTATTATTATTGTTTTATACAGCTGTGTGGAAGGGACCTCAGATAACCCAGTTCAAAGCAGATATTGTGGGATTTTTGTCTTGATATTCAGGGCTATACAGCTGTGTGAAAGGGCCCTAGGAGAGACCCACACATTCAACTTGCGGGATCCTTTGATCATGAAATCGAGGAGGAATTTAAAAGGGTCTGGCCCTGTAGGAGAGACCCTGCGGACCCACCAAAGAGGGCTCGCTACAATGGTGAGCAAAGAGAAGCCCAATTTAAAAGGTTTTTCCTAAGTTCCCAAAAGAAATCTCACCAAAGTTGAAGGAAGCGCCACCAAGATGATTTTATTGCGATTCAGCTGAAAAGGATGCAAAGCAGCAATATTTTGCCAAGCTAAGCATACAGTGTACAAAAATAAAGGCCTTTTTATACATAAAACAGAGCTGCCAGGTTTGAATCTCCCATTCCCGGCCCCTCTGCTGGCTCGACGATGAATGGCTGGCGCTCTACAGCTGGGAGGAGGCTTGGCTTCCTCCTGAGTGCCTGGGCCAATCACTGGGCTTCTGCCGCCTCGGCATCCTGACGAATCAGGAG